TATATATATATATAACGATTTTAAATATTCATATCATAAAATTATATTGTCTAATTAAATATTTTAAAGTTATTTACAAAAAGACTCTAGTTCATAAAAAAAGAGGTATAATAATTACTTTTCTTTTTACTAGAGAATAAGAGATATATATTTTTTTTTAAATTTTTATAATTTAAAATCATAAATATGAAATTTTACATATTATATTCGATGTTTTAAATCTGTTTCCTCTTTTTCAAATCTCTTAATACGAAAAAGAGCTAAAAAGTAGATAGAAATTTTTTTTTCTCTACTCTTAAAAATTGAACAAAGCAATGAAAGTTTATGAAAATTTATTTTCTTTTCTTCACCCACCATATATTATATTAAAATAATTTTTGTATGTGATCTTTGTCATCCACTCTTAATAGATAAAAATAAAGGATAAAAATATAACTTACTTTAAATATTAATCTATATATATTATATCTAAACAGTATAAAGAGAATACTAAATTTTTTAACTATTTTTAAAATTTTCACTCACTTATTTTATTTCATTTTTTTCTTTTATTCTTTATTTTTAATTTTATTTAGAAAAAATATATAAAGATACGTAGTATTTTTTTGTCACTTATCACTATAACATTTATAATTTATCTAATATCATATTATGTTATAATTAACATTATAGTTTATTGTTGAGTTAAAATTATAGATTTTAGGAGATTAAGATTAGAAAAATAGAAAAGTAAAATGGCATGTGAGATGATAGGAGAAGAGTGAGCAAAGGCGTTGAAAGTAAGAGAAGATGGTGGAATCCAAGGTTCCGTTTGAGACACACTTGCGTTGCAGCTATTGGCGCCGCATTTCAAGAGTTTGGGTCACGGCCACGTGCCTCTCGCATGTTCTATTGCTTCAATCCTACGCCGTAAACCGCGTGCACACCGAACCACGGTCAACGCGTTAACATAACCATGGTTAAAGAAGCGGGTAACTGAGGTTGGTTTGGGGTGAAGTGACTCTTTTATCCTGGGTGGCCCCGCCGGTTTCTATCTGCCAGGTCGTCAACAATTATTATTGTGGGCCCCACTCCGGTAACAGTCACCATCTCTTAGTATATGTAACCATGACATCATCGTCTCGCAATAGTTCCATCTTCTCAACCAACGGTTCTGATTCCATGCCCACCTCATTCTAGCTACTAGCTTTTAATATTAATATTCACCACCAATTACAACGCAACCAACACCTTTTTCTTTTTGGCTGCATTTACCACTTTTTCTACCTGCTTATTAATCACATTTACTAATTATATCACCTCCTATTTATAATCATTCTTTTCTTTTTCTTCTTTCTAATCAATTTCATCTTTGAACATAGATTGCCGGGATTTTTTTTTCTTTTATCATATAGATAAGCAGCCGGATAAATATAATACTATTTTTATATTTACTTATAAAATTAAACTTCAAATAATTATTTGTTTTTTTATATATATAAAATTAAATTTATAATATTTCACATATTAATTATTTTTAAATTAAAATATTTAATATCTTAATTTGATAAGATATGAAAAAACATGTATTTTAATTAATTAAAAAAATAAACAATATTAATTATAAAAGATAAGTAATATAGAACATATACTTTTTTTTAGTTAAGAGAGATAAATATTATTAAGAGAGAAAAATAATAATAATAACTTTGAAAAAGTAATATAAATTTATTATCATCGATTAAGTTAATTATTTTTTTAATCTAAGTAGATTATCTTATACATAAGAATAAAGATAGTAATTGATTTAATTAGTTTTAAATTTTCTACCGAATTACAAGTTTTTAGTTTATTTTTTAAATTTTAATATAACAATTGTTTTTTTTTAATGAAAAGTATTAATTAATATCCTTAAAATAGTAATTAAGAAATAAAACGGTTGATTTATTGTGATAATATTTTTTGAAATATTGGGAAAAGCAAGAAATATTGAAACTGTGATAGTGGAATTATTTGAATGTGATATAATTAGTAAATAATTTATATCATTCATTTAAAAGAATTAGCCTAAGAGATAGTGTGGTTTGCTGCTGCAAGAAATTGTGATAGTGGAAGATAGCGTGTATGTTTTGCTGGGTAGGTTTGGTCCGCATTCATTTCTCTGCGTCTAGACTCTTCAATTTGCTGTTGAAGTCCATCAGAAAATTGTACAACGACCCAATTCTAATCCTAGTTACTAACTATTAAAAGAGAGAACTTTCCAATCTGATCTATTATTGAGATTAAACTATAGAGTGCTTGCTTCAACTATTTATTAAACAACCCAATACTAACTCATACATATCAAATTAATTTAAACTGCACATCCATTATCTTGGCCACATAAACAATAGAGAAAACGGGTGTCCACTTCTTAGTTGGGACACAGACACTGACGCCCTCCTCTTAAGAAATACATTATCTTCTTCCCATCTCTCATTACTTATTTCCATAATCACTTTGTCGTTGTTTTGTTTTGAAGTTGGAGTGATAGGGATTTTTCATATGCGCAAGTTCAAACTTCTAAGCCAATTAAATTCAATTGAATAAAGCAAGCATAGAATGGAGGCAATAGAAAAAGGAGGATTCCAAATTTAAAAACCAAAAAACTATTCAGGATAAGTAGTTGGTCTGAACGCGCACTAAATACGGTCAACACGATTAAAGACAAAACTAAAGAAATGACAAGATAAAAGACACCGCCACCTGGCGGTTGGGAGCGGGCAGGTGTCGGTTGGCAAGCGTAGAGAGGGACACGTGTTATCATGTGATTGGCTGGAACCTTAATCAATTTGCGTCATGGCCTGCAATTTGCTGAAACTAACCAGTGGTTACGAGAGCGATAATTAGAGGATTGATTATGTGATTAACATTTAACAATAGTAATCAAGGTGATAGGGTGCTATATAACAGAGAGAGAGTCTGAAAGGCAAAACCAAGAGTGGCGAGAGGTACTCACAGATATTTTTGTTGTCTCCATTTTCTTCACAGCTTTCACTTTGTGTGGTTCAACTTCCCTTCTCCCTCCCCCCCACCCCCCTCTCTGTAACGCCCCGCTTCTCTGAATCCCTTTCTGTTAATCATCTGTCTTTCAAGCTATGATTTTTGGGTTTGTCTTTTAAACTCACCAAGAACTAGAAGCAAACTTAGAAGGATTTCTCGAAGGCCAGGTGTTTTCAGAAACGAGATCCAGCTTTTGTTGTCGCAATTTTTTGATTTTTTTTCTTCTTCCAAACAAAGCCAAGAGGGTTATTTTTGATCCCTCCAAGCTTTCTCTTTTTCAAAGACCCAAGAGGTTGTCTATTAGAAATCTCTTTGATCCTTGTTTGTAGAAAAGAATTTTATCCTTTGGTTTTAATTTTAATTTGGCAGTCTTATTTAACGACCTGTTCTCCAGTTTTAGAAAAACGCAGGTTTTACGATGGCAGCTATGATGGATTTTTACAGCAGCATAGAGTTTGAAAAAGCTCACTCAGATCCCTTCAGGGGTGAACTAATGGAAGTTCTTGAACCTTTTATGAAGAGTCCTTCTTCTTCTTCACCTTGTTCTCCTCTTCCGTCTTTCCCTTCAACTTCTTCCAACTACTTTCCCTCCTCTCCCTTTGTTTTCCCCAAGATGACCCATCATGTATTTGCTGACGGGTTATCCTTATCCTTCCCCAACACCCAAAACTTAATAGGGCTGGGCCAACCCACATCTCTTCTGGGCCTGAACCACCTAACCCCCTCTCAGATCTCTCAGATCCAGGCCCAAATCCAGCTCCAGAGCCAGCAGCAGCAGCAGAACAACCACAACCACAACACCCTGAGCTTCCTCGGGCCGAAGCCCATCCCCATGAAGCACGTGGGCATGCCTCCGAAGCCCGCGAAGCTCTACAGAGGGGTTCGGCAGAGGCACTGGGGAAAGTGGGTGGCGGAGATCAGACTCCCGAAGAACCGTACGAGGCTGTGGCTGGGAACCTTCGACACCGCCGAGGAAGCTGCTCTGGCGTACGACAAGGCCGCCTACAGACTCCGAGGTGACTTCGCTCGGCTAAACTTCCCCAACCTCCGACACCAGGGGTCCTCGGTGGGCGGAGACTTCGGGGAGTACAAGCCTCTTCATTCCTCTGTTGACGCCAAGCTCCAGGCCATTTGTGAAGGCCTCGCTGAGCTGCAGAAGCAGGGGAAGTCTGAGAAGCCTTCGCCTTCCTCCAAGAGGTCGCGATCCAAAGCCGCTCCTCCGCCGGAGAAGCCTCACTCCGACAACAGCAGCTGTTGCAAGGTTGAGGTTTCCTCGAGCGAGGGGTCCGAAGGTTCTTCGCCTCTCTCGGATCTCACTTTTGCTGACGTCAGCGAACCGCTGTGGGAAGGGGATTCGGATAATTTTAATCTCCACAAGTACCCCTCTTATGAGATCGATTGGGATTCTCTCTGAACCTGTGTTTCTTGCTACTTTATTATTATCGTTATGATGCGTCTAGTCTAGTCTAGTCTATAGTATATTTGTAGCTAGGTCTTAGGTCGCTACTGCAATGGAGTTTTTGGCAATTGCAGGGCTACTAATAATCTGTCAATATATTGTATAATCTCTCTACCGCGGGTCACCTGGTTTTTTTCTTGCGTGCCCCGGGAGAAGAATTAGTAAGTGTTCATGCAATTATGATTATATCATATGAACGTTGTAATGTAATCTACTCTCGTATAAAAACTATATGGATATTGTACTATTTATGTGATGCTCTATTCTACGCGTTTTTCCCCTACTTGCCTAGCGTCTGTGTGTAAAATGTTGAGGAAAAGGGGTATCGGTGTTTCTGTGCTTTCGTGGTCGCTTCAATTCCACATCTTTATTTAATGGGATTGTGGCCACAAATTATTGCCATACCATGAGTAGTTTTAAATCATCTTAATAAAAATAAATTCTTGTTTCTTATGCCTAGTTTTACGTCAACCTTCACATTTATTTGACTTTAGGGGACCCATTCATCCATCGCTCCTGGTTATATTAACGTGCAAGCAATCGGAATCAGATTTCCGGCAAATTAGTCTCTCCATATGTTACTTTTAAATTTTGCATTCCTTACTGTCATTATATCCCCGTGTGAATACTTTATTAACGAAACATTCTGATTCTGAGTTTTCGGCATTTCATACAGTGACATTCAATGAGATCGCAAGGGAAACAAATAAAACAAAATAAGATAATTTTTTTTTATTTCTTATTATTTGATAACATAAAAAGTAAAAGAAAAAAACAGAGCATTAAATAACATAAATACATTAAATAGAAAAGAAATGTAATATAAAATAGCAAGGGAAAGATTAAAATTTTTGGGTTTTTCCTGCCCTTCGCAACACCTCACATTTTTCAACAAAGAAACAAATTGTTACATACCTACTTATGACTAGAAAGATATATCTTGTTTCCAGAAATTTAGGAGGGTGTATTGGATTAAGATTTTAAAGGATTTTTTAGTTAAAAAGAATCTTACGGATTTTAAAGAACTTTGCAGGATTTTCATGACTTTTAAGATTTTGCAGGATTCTACAAGACTTTTAAATCAAGATTTTAATAGATTCTACAAAACTTTTAAATCAAGATTTTAATGAATTCTGTGGGATTTTATGGAGTTTTGACATTTGATAAGATTTATAAAAAAAATTCATACATTCAAATTTAAAAAGAGTCAAAGACAAAAATAAAAAAAGCAATAATATTTAGATAAATAATAATAATAATAATAATTCTCCATAATATCCTATCCTCTTTTTATAGCATTCACTATCAATTGTAACAATTCATCGGAATCCTCCTTGGTCCAAGTTTCATAGTTTTCTTTCTCTTTTCCTTTTTCTTTATTATTTTCTTGTGAATCTCCCATTTGAATTACTAAAACAATATATGTTGAAAACTAGTTATATAAATAATTATGGATAAGAGACAAAATCAATAAAATTATATTATTATTTTTAGAAGCACACCAATCATACAAGATCTATCCAAATGGATCAAATACCTCAGTCATTATAAAAAAATGTAAAAACGAAAATATAGAAACACAAGATAATTTTTTATATAAAAAAAATCAGTATATTCAATACTGAGAAAATATTTAGATATATAATTTTTTTTATATAAACAGAAGTATTTAGATATAGAGAATATATATATATATATATATATATATTATTTTAGTTATATATTATATGATAATTTTTAACGATATTTATATATGTAAATTATTCTAACAAATATTTTAATAATATTTCCTTTTTTAAGAAATAAGCTAATGAAGGCATAAATCCTAAACCCTAAAATATTAGATACTGCAATGTCTTCTGTTAATTTTCTTTTTTTAAAATATAAAAAAATATTAATTTCACAATATAAAAATAAAAAGAAAAATTCATAGTAAAAAAATAAAATAATTGTTGAGTCATAAAAGGGTGAAGGATAAGTGTAACAAATTCAAGGGAAGGAGAGAATTTGCAGTTTTTATGCTGAAAGGGTTCTTCCCCCAACTAAAATCCATTTTCATCTCATTCTACTCATAAAAACCCTAACAAAGTCATCTTATATAT